AAAAATAAATCAATCAATTACAAAAATTAATTTCTTGTGGCCAACTGTTACTGAGAGTGTACACGTCACCTGCTATTATGAAGTGACAAATCTGTCCATTGCTAACAGCGTCCTTAAACAATCACTAGAGGGAGTCATGGTCAAAAGGATTAGTTACAGTCACAGAACAACACACTTGTTGTGTCTCATTTTGAAGGCTGCACCCTTGGAAGGTCGCATTCATCAGCCGCACACATCACTGAGGTCGTCTTATTTCAGATTAGTAACTATTATATTCCAAAATAAGAAAGAAATGACAATAATTTACATCTCATAAACAATAACAGTCCATTTTATAATGGCTACTTTTTCTGAAACGAGACATCCTTGATGACGCACGTGGCCGACAATTGTGACTTTCTGAGGGCGCAGCCTTCGAAACAAGACAGTGACTGATTTTAATGATCCCTGTCAGAGCTCCCAATGATCCCGACATAGCTCTTACAGTAGTTAATCTCTTTCTAAATGAAATGGAAATCATGATATAATGTCAAAGAAATGCAAACACTGGAGGCTTTACAGCTCATTGCTGCGCTTATTGCAATGGCACGAGCAAATAATCTCAAGTCAAAAACAATCTCATTAGCTATTCCTCAATGGAGCGCTCGCATTTGCTCAATAAATGCACAAACAAACAAACCAGAATAAAACATTTACTGTATTTCATTCCATGCAACTAAATTAAATTTTTTTTGCTAATTCACTAAATCTATTTGTTTCCCACAAGCAATATAGCCATAATACAAAAAGAAATGACCCAAACTATCAGATACAACAAACCTTTTCCATTTAAATTCCTTCATCTAAACCTGTTCTTGCAAGTCTACCACAGGAGATCTTTCCTGCCGTCAGACAGTACCACCTCACAGGCTACATTACACAAGCAGAATTTCTGCCATTCAGTAGTCCCAGATAATGCTTTCATATGGTGTATACATGGTGCACATTAAGCAGCATAGTAGGTTTTTTTTGTATGACATTCATGCTTTAGTGACTAGAGACAGTCGCACTGGACTAAATTATTTTGCCACTGTCAGTTTAGTGTAGGACATAATCCGAGTCTGATATAGAGCTGAGAGTTACATTGAAATAAATTGATATTTGTCATGCAGCCTTTTTGATTTGCCTACTGCTTTAAGCTGTAAGTTAATTAAGCAGTTAATTAAGCTTAGAATTCAGTATTTCAGCAAGAGGCTGATTTTTAAGCAAGAGCAAGATTTGTGCAAACTGTGCAGATGCTGAAACAGTATAGAGAGCTGCACTTGGCCTATAGAAAGTCAAGGGATTTTTTTACTCCAAGAGTAAGAAGTAAAAAAATAAAATTCACTAATTCTCTAATAATAAATTACAAGTTATTTAAATTTTCTATGCATTCCCCTATAAAATTAGCCCAAATCATTCTAGAATCTAGAATTTATTCCAAATATAGCCAATTAAGTCATCTTGAGAAAATTCCGTTGACATGATTGCAAAGATATTATTTAAACTGAGCTGGATGTTGACATCACTGAATTCAATGATGAACTGTCTTTAACTGAAAAATTAGTGTTTACTATTGTCATTTTGCATTATTGACACACTATTTTCCTAATTAATGCTGTTCAGTTGCTTTGACACAATCTGTATTGTTAACAGCGTGAATTAAATAAAGGTGACTTGACTTTGCTTGTAGGGCAGTACATTTTGGCCAAAATGTTGTGATTATTATATATATGCGATTATATTATATATGCTATATTAATAATTTTTTATTATATAAAAATCTAAAAATTACTAAAAACTAATAAGAAATAACACCATTGTAATACCTCACTGCAAAAAATATAAGTATTTAAGAAATTGCATTTACATTTAAAATTACATTTCATTTCTCAATTTTCAAACGTTAAACCATCAACAACCAACAAACTTTGACAGAAAACCACAAGGAGCCAATGAAAGCTTCTCTTTTGTGGATTGTACGCTTTTCTCATTACAAGTATAGGAAGATGAGTGGCACATGTTGCATCCCAAATGCGTGTTAAGGCGACCAATACTCAAAGCAGATGTGGAGAGATGGAGTTTAAAAGGATAGTTCACCCAAAAATCGTTCACCCATTTATTACACACCTTTGTCATTTCAAACCCATAAGACCTTCGTTCATCTTCAGAGCACAAATTAAGAGATTTTTGATGAAATCTGAAAAAATCAGATGCTCCATAGACAGCAAGGGAACTACCACGATTAAGACCCAGAAAGGCAGTAAGAACATCTGTAAAATAATCTGTGACATCAGTGGTTTAACCTCAATTTTATGAAGTTACGAGAACATTTGTGTGCAAAGAAAACAAAAATTTCTTCTCTTCCAGTCAGTCTCTGGACATTCACCACGACAGAAAAAAAAAAAGAAAGCTCTTTGATTTCATCAAAAATATCTTCCTTTGTGTTCTGAAAATAAATGAAGGTCTTACAGGTTTGGAACGTAATGAGAGTAATTAATAACAGAATTTTAATTTGTGGACGAACTATCCCATAATCACACTAAAATAAATCGCAATTTCGGTTTTGTTTCGATTAATAGCGTAGCACTAGTCTGAAAGGTGGCTGATGACTGGAGTTCAAATGGTACTGGATAACAGCAATGACCCAAAAGTTTCCCAAATTACTGATACTTTTGTCCATCTTAGATCTGTTCCAACCAACTAACAAGAATATAAGAGTCAGCACATGCTAATTAAGGTCTAGCTTACCATGCTTGCTTAGATGATGCTAGAGCTGTTGACAATCAGTTAGTGCTCACAAAGCTGTGCAGAAGAACTCATGAGAACGCCGTTCCTCCTGTATGTCCTCAAAAACAACAAAGTCAAAGCAAACTCATTGTGTTCCTGTGGCATCGCAGGGCTGTTAGTCTTTCTCCGCAGAGTGATTAAAAACAAACACGATTTGGAAGAAAGTTTTGATTGTTCAGAACAATATACTGTAATCTTCTCAGCCACATTTCAACATTTTCCACAGGCAAATACTGACACTCTCCAGAAAACATCCGTCATGTTATGTTACCTTGCGCCGCTGAGACTTCAAATCTGCTTTAATTTGTTCTGAGACTTTACGTGGGCGCCTTTAATACGTTTATTGGCATGTGGGAACAACAGATTGACCAGTCTCAACCAAGGATTCCAAGGAAAACCAGTTAAATTTGGTTTTAAATGGTTATACCGACTTTTTCCAAATGCACAAAGGCGATTTGTGCTTCGAAACATCACAGGACAAAGATTAAAGCTCGAAAGTCCCATAAATAGTCTTTGGCTCAACTTATGAAGCAGGGTTATTATAGTTAACTACAACTAAAACCATAAAAAAAAACATTGCTACTAAAATAAAATAAAATAAAAAATTAATAAATAAAATTAATACAAAAATAATAATAATTAAAATTAAAAAATATTTAATTAAATAATTCATAAATCTATAAAGACATTAAAAAAAACGAATTAAAATGACACCAAAATATAAAAAGAAGTTCTAAATATTAATAAAAGCAATACTAGTATCTCAATGATACTAAAATAACACTGTTATGAAGGGGGAAAGTCAATAAATTATGTCAAATACTCCTGTCGTCTACACAATCTTGTTACCAAAAAGTAACAAATCTAAGTTTTCCACAAAAGACTTGTGGTCAATATCAACCCACATGAAATACTTTTGTCTACAATGAAATCACACTGAAGTTTGGCTCTTCATGATTCAATGACCCACAGCGCTTAGGCCAACAAGACAGCAAACTGAACCCAAAATAAACCATTAAACCAACCACTCCAGACCAGCCAAACTCTTTGAGGACAAGCAGTGGCTTATATCAGCAGCTCCCTAGCGGCATTAGTGTCAGTTCACATGAGGAGCCACTGGCCAAAGCAAAGTCTCTTGGTGTGAGCGTACGGCCAGCGAGCGATTAGCCGCACAGATCTGTGAGGTGTCTCAAATCCCACCGACTCAGCAAGAGTGCAACACGAGGAAGCGTTATGGAGAGCTGAGGGTAGAGAGAGCCTTACAGAGCTCACACAACTCTTGATTTTACAAGCATATCTAATAATGTAAAGAGCATAAACTATTATTATGAAGACCCATATGCTTCAAAAAATAGGCAGTTGTCTGACAGTTGACAACTTTAGATTAATAGATGTTTGAAAGAAAAGACCAATTAAAATTCAGCATCTGTATGCAAGAGTGACCAATCAAACTCAGTATGCAAATACTGAATCGTGAAATAAAGTAGTGGGAGATATTCAAATGTAAATATTTGGTTTCTTTTTAATGAAAGCCAAGAATTAAATGAAAAGAATGAAATACCAATGAAATTACTGATAAAATGAAGTTGGAATGGAGTTTGAACATTAGACGGTGTTCAAACTGAATTCAAATTAATTGCAGAATATTGTAGAGACTGACAATAGAATTCCAATAATTAAACAATAAATGTAATTATAATGATAAAATACATTAAAATAGAAATAGAATAGAAATATAAATAAATACAGATGTATACACATTTTTATATTCTTTATTTGTGAAACTGACTGCACACAAGAAATTGCAATACTGTATAAAAGAAGTTAACCACTTAACACTAGAACGGGGTAAATTTGACCCGTGGCTGTTTTTCAAA